GATAACTACGTTATTTAAAAGTAACAAGTGTTGTAAGACCTTGCACGAACTATATAGTTTTTGTTTGTTTTCAGCACTCTCTCCTAAACTTTACTCTCCTGAATTTAACTTTTTTGAAAGTGATGCTTATATCCATAGTATTCGTTTACTTCAAACTGACTAAAGGCCACTTTAGCATCTGTATTAATAGTGCCGTCTATTCTGCATTCCCTAACAGTCTGTATGTTTTTGTTTGTTCAATACGAATAAATCACCCGTGCAGTGTTACGTAAGAGATATGGCGCGTTTTATGGACTGAAATCAGACGGTTTAGAGCAGAAACCTTTACATCACTGGACCTGTCATGACATAACACCACTCCTATCGAAAGTCCGATTCGTATTGCGAAGTCTGATTTTCTAGTTCAGTTACTGCATTTGTTCAAGCCGTGATTTTATGTTTTTCTAAAGCATATTGCACTTGTACTTGGAAAAAGGCTAATAGAAATCCAGTATTGTGTTCAAAATCTTCGTCGAGCGAAGCTCCTGTCAGAAAAACATTGTGACAAGTTTCTGAATTTGTTGGAAAAGTGAATTCCAACCACGAAAGTCATTCGAAAGCTGTAATTTTGGAAGTATTTTTAAAATTTGCAACTTGTAAAACTAAAATCAATTTTCCGTGTCTTTTCAGGCCAAAGGCTAATGCGTAACTTAATCCAGGGTGGAACGCACCAAGTTTGCCGGTGCGAACATGTACTTTTGAAACAAACAAGAAGAAATTAGGCTACCTACATGTATGGTTATTGCTTCATACCCGCTTTGTGCACTCACTACCGTAAATCATCGTAAATTTTGCACAAATGGAAATAAACAATTCCCGTTTAGCAGTCGTTCTTTGAAAATGACCTAGCTGTTCAATGAGCAATTTATCCACCAAAAAATTTAAGTGCCCGAGAATTACAAATACTTGGAGGCCGAGTTTGAAATCTCTACATTGTATTTGGACAGGGAACATTCCCCTAAATTTTAACCTTCCAGCTTTCCTAGTTTCCGAGTTAGCAGTTTTTCCGCCAGGACTTTCATGTGCTCGTATGTGAGTACCATGCGTACCTGAGGGCTGAATTTGAAATCTTTAAATTGCACGTGGACAGGGAAGATCCTCTTAAAATTTCAACCTTTCAGCTTTCCTGGTTTGGAGTTCGCAATTTTCCGTCAAAACTTTCACGTCCCGTATTTGTGAACCACGGACGCCTAGAAACTGGATTTGAAATTTTTAGCCCGAGGATGTGTGGGAAATATCCCTACAGAATTTCAGCTTACTATCTTGTCTTGTTTCCGAGATCGCTTTCCCGCAGAAAAATTTGCATATTTTTCCGAGGCGTTCGTACTTGGGACTCAGGTGTACGCAAGTGGTGATATTAAAAGGGGAGGATCGCACATAGTGTGGGAACGTGCTCCCGAAGTTTCAGATTTCTAGTTTTTCTGGTTCTCGAGTTGAAAGTGGGTGACAAAAGGTGCGAACACACAAATACACTCAGAGAGTCCCTTGCCTGTATGCAACAACGCATGGAAATGAAAAGAAAATATATCACAGATTTTGAGGGTTTCATTTACCAAACAAATTCCGAGTAAAAAATCTGTAATTTGTCCTCAGGGCTTGTCGTATTTTGCTTTCTGTCCAAGCTCCAAAATTAGACTAAATCGATAACGACAAAATAAGATGTGCCAAAAATATTCGGTATCTTTTACTTGATGCAAAATGAATAGCTTGAAATCAGTTTGCAAAATTTATTCTATTCTAACTTCTGATGTTATATTTAAGATAAAGGCTGATGCTAACTCTAAAGCATGGCAATTGTATTTTGATAGTTCACACGGATCTGGTGGGTCAAAAGATCATGACGAAGTACGCTCGGTTTCTACACTTGTTGATGCATACACGCACAAAGGACTCTCGTAGAACGGTTGTTTCACGCCAGCCGCCGTCACACTGACTGAAAAAATACAGGACTGATAACTCTATGCATATTGGCGCATTCCTGGATTGTAATTTAACAACTTCCTATCTTTTATTTGTAAGCAGTGACATGCTATAGCCAAAAGTTTATGATGGATGGAGCACATCTGCAAAATTTCGTCGGAGCGCCAGAAGAAAACTTGGAGGGGGAGGAGCAAAAGGAGGGAGAGAGAGGGAAGAATGAGCTGTGGCACTAAATACACTGGATACTTTTGGATACTACAGCTGCTCAGTAAAAACTGAGCTTATAAAATCACCAATAAAAAATTCAAGAAGCAAATTTTATTATGTTCTTCCTATAAATCAGGCGAGGAGGCGGAGAGAGAGGGGTGTGGAGAGACATTTACCGCGATGCGAGCACTCTTGCCCACGCCATCACGTCAAAAATCAAGGTTGATATCAGCTCGCAACTGTTGTATTAAGCTTTTCGTTGGTTTCCTGAACCAGTTAGCATTTTCTTCCACTGGGAAAGAAGGCTTTGGCAGCCGGATTTCGCTGGTGAGCTCAGAATCCGAGCGCTTTCAGAGAGATAGTGGATGCCATTCAGCGATCTGTCGCCGCGGGTTATTCCGCACCTGTAACCAGTGCTCATCTTCTGGCCCAATTAAGCATTCTCCCATCACCTGAAAATATCTTCTTTCAATAAACGTCTGCTTGCGCAGACGCAACGCAATGGTGCTGTTGTACGCTGCATGAGGTAGTCACGAGATGCAAACACGCAACCATTTGACCGACATTTTTCAAAATCCTTCCTTGGCTTAGCCGTCTTGCACTTTTTTCAGTGGGAAAATATTTAATATCATGGCAATACAAGCGCATGCAAGAACTCATAGTCATGGAGACAGCCCTTCAGTGTATGAGTTAGCGCTCAAAAAATCCGGAGATTACTGAAGTTAGTCTTATATAACTTTGCTCGAAAATTATAGGTCCAGAAAATTGTGCTTGTTCACTTAAAGCGTCGAATGTTTCTTGATTTTTTTATTCAAATAAAAGAATTGCATGCTTTTGGTTTTCTGCAGCCTTTGGTTTCATACACAAGTATAAGCTAATGCTGCTAACACCAAATGGGACAAGTCAAGAGTTTAAACTTTCAAAATCCTTAGAGCAATCGTGTAAGCCAATATGAGCAAACAAAATAACGAATTTGTAATTTTTAAGAAAACAAATTACAAATTTCGTTCCTTGGCCCAACAACTTAAGCCCGCCTTCAGCTTCACATAATTATTTCTACGAAAAAATTGTAGCAGTTTGCAAGATGCAGAAATTTTAACAGTTTGGAAGCCACAAGTGCAACAACGATCGCGGATTTTCCACCCGCTTGTTCTGCAAGTGCAGGTGCAAATAATGAGATTCAGAGAGAATGTTGCAACTGCCCTTCCTGTTCAATTCACTTTTTGCCAAAATTTTCCCAGAATATCATTCAGTTCTCTGAAAAACTTTTGGCTACACAAGAAAACTGATGAAAAACTAAGGCAAAAAAAGTTTTTTCAAGAAAAAACCTCATTTTTGGTAAGCCGGTCCCAATCCAGTACAGCTATTTTGAACTGTATATTGTCCAGGTCCTGTTCGTTTGCACTCGGCAACTCAAAAACGAACGATTCATTGTAGACTGGCGAAATTGTGCGCTTCTTCACATGGCTTTTCTTCTTTGAAATTGCCTGCCCTTTATACAGCATGTAAATTTTGACGTAGGGATCTGAAAAAGGGTACCAGGATAGTAGCAAGAATATACGCCAAACCTGCTGAAAAAGGTGGATGGAACAAAAGGAGGAAAGGAGGAAGAGGAGGAGAAAGAGGAATGGGAGGATGTGAAAGAAGCGGAGGTTTTCAAAACGCTCTCTTGACTGAAATAGGCTTCATCCCATAAACTTCCATCTTTGATTTTTCCTAGCAAGCAAAGCAGAAAGTGAAGGCTAATTAAAATTACGTGTGATTTTAATGTTTACCAGCCATTCCAGTTATATCCAGTTTCGGCAGTTCCCTTGCTTTGAGAAGTACCATAGTGACCCTGTGAGTAGTCGGCTGATAGCACAATGACAGCAGAACTTGTCCCCGATCGGTACTGCTGACCTGCTCTCCGCGACCTCCCAGTTCCAGCTCCACCGTTATACTTTCATTGTTCAGCATATCCGCATCCTTTAAAGGGTACACCGCTTCCGCTAGTAGTGTGTCACGGCTGTATCGATCAAACGCAATCACCTGAAAGACCTTTTCCAGGGTCATGTTCTGCAAATACATTTTAGTTTCTAGATGTCTGTTGATAAACACATGTGTCTATGCAGGTAATGATTCCCAGGAAACTTTACGCTGCTGTGAAAATTGAAAAGTGAAATCCTTCGTGTAGTGTGTGGTATGTCGGAAAACGAAGCACCTAATTCGATGTATTGGGCAAAACGAAAAAACTACGCAAAAAATGAAACATGCAACGAACGGGAATTCCTTATAAAGTGTGCCCTGGCGTACGTCAAGTCTGGCAAAGCTGTGCTGCATAATCGGTTTCGCGGCTGTGGCTTGGTCGATATGACACATTTGGCAGGAGTATAACAGAATGCAAAGCTCCAAAACAGAATCATTATCAGCTATTCACTTCAAGCAATGTTCTAGCATGCAAAATTTGCATAAATTTAGACAGATAAATAAAGGCTTACAGCAAAGTGTAGACTGGTCGTTGCGAGCTGCTGTGCATCGATTCCATACATCGAAAACACTTCATCGTAATGCGGATTTCTGGATGCTCGCACGAGGCGCGTTTTGACTCGGTGTTGCTTCTCTGGTAGAAGCTGTAATTTGACATACGGATCCAGCAGACACTGACCGTCTGGTGCTACTACCAGTTCTGGTAGATCTCGACAAGACACTATATTTACCTAAATTTCATATTCTTTTAATTACTTGGCAACCAACAATGACCTTCATAGGCAACGCTTTTTGCTGTATTGTTATAAAGGTTCTGCTGCGTTATCATGCTTGCTGTGGAGGGAATGATTAGTGTTAGCCCAAAAAGCTTTGGCAGATGTAGGCAAATTCCAGTAAATCTTATCGTGCACTTAAGCGTATGCGCCTAGGACTAATATGATAGACCAATTATTTCATAATGTAGTTCCTGCAAAACTAAGCATCATAAA